AGGAACCATGTTAAAGGTTTTGACTGCCGTAGGACTTCAGTGGATGCACTGAGCTCTTTTTCTACACTCACCACTTTTATTATGTTTACATACCACCGAGGCATGTCATTAAATGTTTGTCTCTACTCACATTTATTCTGTATTTTGTTCTGTCTCACTATGCTCACTTTTACTTTTTTCTTTGCCGTCATCCTCCTACCGGTCACAGCAGAGGACTGCCCCTGTCTCAGCCTGGTTCTGCTGAAAAGGGACTTTTTCCTTCCCACTGTTGCAAACTGCTTGCTCATAGGAGGTCATCTGATTATTGGGGTTTTCTCCTGAATACAGTGGGGTCTTCACCTTACAATAGGTTTTTTGGCTCTTATAAAAGCAGCCAAAAAAAAACACAGAACACATAGCCAGATGTGTGTGCCTCCAAGTTTATTATCCCCCTTGTGGCAAATATTTAATGACTAATATTCAGGCTTCATAATTTTGTAATTTATTTAGAATATTATGTAAATTATTCTATCTATGACTGCAATCTCATCAACCCTGTTAATTGTGCTGCTATCTATATTTTGGCCTGGTAACTCTCATAAAAGAGATTATAGATCTAACCGAAATGCATTTTCTGACATAAAAGTTACATAAAAACTTACCAGAAACATATTACCATAAACACTGGTAATAAGCAATTCAGAAAAACAATTTACATTAATTTTAAAATACTCCTTTATACATTTAAGGCTATCAATTCTCTTTCCCTACCATACCTTTCTGATTTGGTACAGATCTCCATCCCATCCCGGTGCCTCAGATCCTTCTCTTCTCTTTTCCTTTCTGTTCCTTCCTCTCGTCTTATTACCACGGGGGGCAGGGCTTTTAGTTGCTCTGCCCCTCGACTTTGGAATTCCATACCCTCTGACCTCTGAAACATCACTTCAATCCCTCTTTTTAAGTCCACCCTCAAAACCCACCTGTTCAAGATAGCATACTCTATATAACTTCTCCATGCTCTTAAACTTTCTTTTATTATTGTGTTTATTTCCTGTTTTTATGCCTTTCTTATTTGCTCCGTACAGTGTCCTTGGGTGTTTTGAAAGGCAATTTTAAATAAAATGTATTATTTATTATTTATTATTATTATTATTAACAATTGCCAGACTATAATGTAATATATACTAGACAAAGCACACAATTTTTCTTCTAATACTATGATGGAAAACTATTTTTTATAACAGATTGCTGAGCAATGCAATAACAAGGTGTTATATAAGTAAAACACTGTTTAAATAAATATATACACAGCTGGACGTTTTATTATTTGATTCTGAGGTAATGATAGTGAGCAATAGCACACGAGGATAACGATGTAGTGGTTAACACATTTGCTTGGCACGCCAAAGATATTTGGATTGCTTCCAAGTGAAGACACAAATCCCCTTTGGGGTCGCGACAGTAAGGGTATCCAGAGCAAAACTGTATAACTCTGCCAAATC